ACCTTGTGTGTGTGTGTGTGTGTGTGTGTGGTACACGGGTCTCTCACTGTTGTGGCCTCTCCCGTTGCGGAGCACAGGCTCCGGACGCGCAGGCTCAGCGGCCATGGCTCACAGGCCCAGCCGGTCCGCGGCATGTGGGATCTTCCCGGACCGGGGTACGAACCCGTGTCCCCTGCATCGGCAGGCGGATCCTCAACCACTGCACCACGAGGGAAGCCCTGCAGTTATTTTAAATAACTGGCATTATATATTTTGTTTATTGGTGGTGTTCACTGTTGGTGTTCTCCTTGGATGACCCTTACCAATCTGTAGTCACACCCCACCCCTCCTGAAAGTCTGACACTAGGGAGGGAGAAAGTCAGAGCACATGGAGGACCCTTTGGTTTGAAGGCTGTGCAGGTAGCAGCAACACATCCCAAGTTCTCTCCAATGGGCAGGATGTTGGGAAACGTTTTTACGCAAAGGTTGTGGGCAGAGAACTGGTTAAGAGGGTCCATAGTAGATGGCCAAAATGGTTCCTCACGTTGGCAGGTAGACACGGGCCATGGAAGAAGAGGCATTTTAAAGTCATTATTATACGAACTCTGAGTGTCCTTTGGACTCTGTCAGTGTTCTCTGAAAGGCACATCCCTGATGGATGAGTCATTCTCCTAAAATATGACAGCACTTGAAACCCATTAAGAACTTACCTTATCTTTAAGTTGTTCCTGTGAAACAAAGCTCAAAGTTGATTTGCAGTCAGACTTATGCTACTCTTTTGCAATTTTTTTTGCCCTTGAGCGTTCTCCAAATACTGTTGTAATATTTGGTGAGTATCACATTAGGAATGTGCTTTAAAGAGGAAAGACCAGTTCTTAAAAGAACATACATTTTATATTCTTATGGTGGTATTTGTTTGGTGAGTATTTCAATACTCAGGAAGGCATTGAAATCAGGCCGATCTAGGTTCAAATCCAGCTCTGCCACTTCCTAGCCCTGTGACCTGAAGCAAATTGCTTAATCTCTCTGAGCCTGTTCCCTCTTTCCAAGGTGGTTGTAAGATGAAATGAGGCAATGCTTTAAAAAGAAGTGTTAATGTTGATTACTAACTTGTAATTACTTAATCCTTATGGTAGCCTTGTGAACAAGATACTGTTACTGTCATTTTATAGCTGAGAAAATTGATGCCCAGTACCATGCAACTAGTAAGTGCTAGTTCCAGGATTTGAAACAGGCAGAGTCCAGCATCCACCCTCTTGTGCATGTGATAAGCTTCACCATGTGCTCAGAACCCCTCGGTCTGTCCCGTCATCAGTAAATGCCCACTTCATGGTGGCTGGGGCTTTTATTGTTGTTTTATCATGATTTGAGGGGTCTCTCTGGCCAGAATTTCTAATCTGCTTTACACCCTTTGAGGCATGTACATTTTGTCATTTTTGCTGTAAAACACTTGAATATCTAGGATTAATTTTTCTTCTCTTTTCAAATGCTTAAATCACAGGTGCAACTGCCAAAAGAGCTGGCATAAGAGGCAACAGAATAATCCCAGAGAAGAAGGAATTGACATAATGACTCTTGGATTAGAGTTTGGAGACTGTTTCAGCAGCATACTTCTGGATCCAGGTGGTGGAACTGGGAACATTGCTAACTGATACGTGTATTTTGTAAAAGGCTTTGGCCCGTGACAAAATAGGGGCTGAAAAGGCAGGGGGAAGGAGATAAAATATGAATAGTCAGGGCAAGATTTTCTACTTCCAATCAGTTGGAGTGACTTAGGTGAAACTGAGTCTTCTAGCAGAAGTTGATTTTTTCGTAAACATTTGCTTTATTATTGCTTTCTTCTGGTAAATAACAATAAATACTATAGCGGTGTTAACTATTATATTCCCATTTTTTTTCTCCTTCCGTCTGCTCTGCTGTAATTCATCACACAGTATCTTAAACGGAACAGAACATGTTTCACTCTGTGGAAATGTGAAGGGTGAATTGAACTCCAGGCCCTCCAGATGCTTTGAAATGGAAGAAATGTTAATTGCCTCCTCTTCTCTGGAGGATCAGTTGCGATTTCCCGTTTCCAGCCCTGCCTAGCTTTCTCTCTTGGCCATTTTCCTGTGTTGGGATATACTTCTGATAGGGGTATCTGTGAAGAGCAGAACGCTTAAGCCATGGGACGTGGAGAAAACAGCGTTTCCAGAAAAACTAACAGGCTTGATCTTGTTCTTCTCAAAAATCTAAGGAAACTTGCTCTAGGATTAACCTTGAATTCCTTACCCTATCATTCAAGGCCCTCCATTGCCTGTTTTCAATTTAGTAATTCAGTCTTATCTGCCACAGATTCTTTATACCATTCTTTCACCTTTTTTGTTTTGTTTTTTAATTTTATTGAAGTATAGTTGATTTACAATGTTGTATAGATACTATTCTTGATAAAACATCCTCATGCTTTTGCTTCCATTGACCCTTCTATGGAGTATCCTGAGAGACTCCGCAAAAATCTCCCAGACAACTCCATCCCCAGTGTCCTTTCTTCTTCCAAGTTCCTAGAGCCCATAATTATCCATTCAAGTCTCTAGGTGCATAGAATCTGAAATTTTGTACTGAAGTGGCATGAACCTTAGAAATCAGGGAATGACACTTTGTTGCTTTTTCTGTCTTCGTCACCTGAGCAAATAATTGGCACCTGCCTTCTTTCTCTTTTTATATAATCATAGGTGGTACATCACAGGCAAAACAGGCTAGGAGAGAATGGACTTAATGGGGACAAACAGTACATTATTTCGAAGGACAAGTCGTGGGAAAGAAATATGGTGTTTCCATTTTTTAAAGATAATTTAGTGGGTACAAAAGTATCCATATTTAGGCCTTCCCTGGTGGCGCAGTGGTTGAGAGTTCACCTGCCGATGCAGGGGACATGGGTTCGTGCCCCGGTCCGGGAAGATCCCACATGCCGTGGAGCGGCTAGGCCCGTGAGCCATGGCCGCTGAGCTTGCGCGTCCGGAGCCTGTGCTCCGCAATGGGAGAGGCCACAACAGTGAGAGGCCCGCGCACCGCAAAAAAAAAAAAAAAAAAAAAAGGATCCATATTTAAATAGTTATAGTTTTCAATCAAGTAACTAATTTTAGAATCCCCCAAGGCTGAGAGTTTTGTTTTCTCTTACTTTACCATTTCTATAAAGCATCCTTGCATACAAAGCCAGATGGTTTAAAAAACGCTGCGATAAATAAAACTTTTAAAGTACCTAGCATATTCTGCACTTAAGAGGCTAAACTCTGGTGGGACAAAGCACTCTGAACATCTTTAAGCTTAATGTGTATCAGTGGTTGAAGTTCTGGAAGCTCTTATGTGTTTGCTTATACAGCAACAGTATTAATAAATAAGCCAGGAATTTCAAAAAGTGTGAATAGTCCTGAAAGAGGACGTTACTCTTAGATGTGCAAAAAGGAAAGATGATCCAAATTCAAATTTACTGCCTCATTGCACAGGTTTTGTCAAGAAACAGGTGAAGCCATTCATATTATGCTTTTTTTTCTATTCACCCACTCCCACCTTAAAAATCTTAACTGAAAATTTTAACTTGTTTTTAAAGTGAAATAATTTATAGCATTTCCATGCTAGAGTTTTCTATTATATTCTGATCACCAACCATTAGTAACTGTAATGAGTATATTTTTTTCATTCACATCGTCACTTTCTCCAAATTTACTGCATTTAGTCCACAGATTTCACCATGTAGAAAATGGGTCTAAAATATGTATAAGCCCATGCCAGGTTTAAAAAAGGATTCCATTAGTATTCGGTTTTATTCTGGCTGGAAATTAATAAAGTATTACAGTTTTATTAACAGTATTTGAAACACAAGCTGTTTTTTGCTGCAGAGAGAATATTTGCATGTTTATAGGGCTGTCAGTGAGTTTCTCAAACATTTAACACAGATGTACAGTAAATAAAGTCTCACCCCCCAAAAAAAAATCTTTGATAAATTTTATTCATATTTGGCTATGGGTACAAATTCTAGGCCATGTATGTGAAGTCATGGTGATACCGCTTTGCTAGAGAGAAAGGCTGCAGGTTGGCTAAGAAATTAAAATGCAAGAAGAAAGCAGGAGCGACATATGCATTGCTTCTTATTCTAGGACATACAGGGTCTCTTCAATAAGTACTGCTCCAAATGTCGTCCTAATTCCATGCTAGGGAAAGCTAAATATTTTCTATTCATCTATGAAATCACTCAATTGGCAAGGAAAACATGTTGTATCATCTATTTCTAAATACATGGGAAGTGAAAGGAAGAAAGTAATAGAAAATATAAACTCATGCTATCTTAATTCTAATGTCTAGCTATAAAAACATATAATTGTACCAAGTGCTATCTAATATTTTTATGAACTGCAGAAGCTGATGATCACTCCCACTTTTGAAGGTCTTTTTGCTTGGTCATCTAAAGATGCTTTTCAGATTTCAAAAGATCAGCTATTATTGTCCTCTTTCTGCCCCTAAGGAATTGGTAAAATGCACGTTCATTTCCTTCTTTCTAAATATTCCAGTTAACAACTAAACAGTGAAGAAAAAAGGGACACATTATCTTGGACACCTTTTTGTCATTATAACAACAAAAACTGTGCAATAGAAACTCAAGTTTTATTCTGATTTTTTTGTTTGTTTTTTAACAAGACCGTCAAGAATAATACAGGTTACAGAGCTGTAACCTCCTTAAAGAAGAGGATATTTAGTTTGCAACAAATGCCTTCTAGTGAGAACATATTACTAGCACTTCAAAAATTTACAAAAGGTTGACAAAATATTCTCCTAAACAGCTAGCTTTATATTTATAAACAAAATAGAAACAACTGGTTTATCCACTGCACATCAAACAGGAGGCAAAGTGATCGAGATCACCTTTGATTTTAAAGAATAATAAAAACTACTTTATACCCCACATATTATAATCCTAAGGAAGGAATATTTTTGAAGGATGCTGAGGGGGATTAAAACAGGCTAATGCATGACATCCTCTCCTTTAGTAGTCTTTTCATTTACTCATATTGCCTTGATCCTTGACAATTACTTTTTTCCTACAAGATAACCATACTGTTGCAGTACAATCCGTAATTCTTTTCTTTTATTCCCCTTAAGAAATAAGTGCGACCCATTTCCTATCAGCTTTCATAAACACACTTGAAACTTCAGACATAATAGGAGGGTGGTTTCTTTCAGTTTGAGGCCTTTTCTCTGTAACAGCAGAGATGAGAACAGGGTGGCCTCTCCGTGCGTGCTGCCATGGATAGCTGGATGGTTTGTGCACCTCGTATTTCAAAAACACAAACGGAAAGTAGGTCTGGACAAGGACAAACTGCAACTCGATTTCTGCTGCAACCCTATCAGCAGGTCAGCTCTATTTACTCCTTCACTTTACTGATATAGTCAGTGAACTTGCTGATGCTTTCTTCCTGCTGTTCTAGGGCATCCAGGACAATGCCCATGGGCGTCCTCTTCAGACCGATTCCCTCCATTTTATTCTCCAGTTTGTTCTTGAGGTTCCGGAGTCTCAGCGATGCGTGGATAAACATCACTACAGGGAAGTGAAACGTGGTTAGCATCAAAGCAACTGTTCTCTGTTTCCCTTCACGCTTGTAGCAGAAACTTTCTCTGTTAGCTACAGTCCAGTCTGGTTCTCCCATTGATCCAAGTCCCCACATGGATCCTTGGACTTCATAATCTGCCTGCCACTCTCTTCCCTTCACACATTGATATCATTACCTTTCAGATGCTACTTAAATGCCCTGAAATTCAAAGTGAATCCATGCGATTCCAACTTCACTAAAAAGCAACTGAACACTAAGCATTCCAGAAAAGAGCTCATGCTCAGTTCAGGGATTACCTGTATTTTGTCCCTGCAGGACGCATGCAGGTGAAGTCCTCTTAGAAAATGTCTGCTATGGGGCAGTTTTCCATAGTGTTGGGTATAGATGTCTAGATAAAAAGCTAAGGGTTTTATGGGCCTTATGTAACCTGGTGTTCCCCAGATTTGCCTGAATATTAAGAATTACCTGAGTTTGTTTATAAAGATTCTCTGGCCTCTCCCCTAGACCTCCTGAACCAGAATCTTAAAGGGATGGTCCTGGGAGTCTGTATTTTAAACAGACACACTGGGTGATCTGCACCAGCAGTTTTCAAACTTCTGTGTACATACAAATCACCTGGACAGACGGTTAAGTAGGCAAATTCCCAGTCTTCATCACCTAAAATTCAGACTGTTAAGACTGAGGTAGGATGCCAGAATGTAATCATTGTGGATGCTTCTGACGTAGGCGATTTTGGACCTTCATTTTGAGACGCACTGATGTGTGTTCTCTCTGGAGGCTCCTAATCTAGAGTGGCCATTAGAAACATTTGAGAAGCTTTCTAAAACTACAGGTTCTTTGGGCACCACTGTGGACCCAAAGAATCAAAATCTCCAAGGGAGGTAGCTGGCAAATTTATATTTTTAACAATCATCCTGGATGATTCTCCCAATCATCAAAGTTTGGGTATCACTGATATTGTCTAATTTCCTTCTGTTATAGATGAGTGAACTACAGCCCATAGAGGATAACTGGTCCAGATCACATGGCTGGTTTCCAGCAGGTCTAGGAATAGAAACCTGGACCCTTGACTCTCGACTTCTGCTACATTTCATTACCCTGGCTTGTGTTTTACAAGCTGTGCATTTAAGCAGAATCACTGAAATACTAAGCCTGTAGCACATAAAGAAAACCTTAAGAGTATTTCAAAAAGTCTGAATTTACTGATTCAATTATTTTATCCAATAAGGTATGAGATTCACATATAAATATTCTGGGCTTAATCTAACAAACCTTAAACAAGCAATTGATTTTATTTAATGGTACAGTGGCACAGGTGAAATGCTATTAAAAGTTAGAGGGATATTCCTGTCACTTAATACACTATAATTTTAATCAGATTTCTATTGATGAGACTTGAATTTTATCTGTTCTCTATTTCAGGCTTCAAGTGCTTGGAAATCTCGGTAAACAATGCATACAGACTTTAGAAAATGTCTATTTCTCTTCACCAGAATTGGAGTACTTGGTATCTATATTCTGGGCCAACTTACAAAACTTTCAACACTAATTCTGATCTTCTGAGTAAGTAGAGAGTAAACATCCATTTCTCTGTCACCACAGGATGCCTGGCACTGAACGCCTGAGAACAGACTCTGATATCAGACAGATCTGGGTTCCAGTGCAGGCTATACCACTTTTCTGCTGTATGACTTGCGATCCGTACTTGTTTTGTTTACTGTATTTGTGCAATTAATGGACTATCAGGCCTTGATCTGCCGTTTCAGAAAATTCTGATCATGTTGTAGCCCTGCCAGCACACCTCAGAAACAGGTTAGATTAATTCCCACTGAATGATCGCGCCTAGGATACAAGGAAAGGAAGGCCCAGGTTCACTTACACAGCAAAGGAAAAGTGATGCCAAACACGAACACCATGACTCCCCCAAACATGGATATGAGGAAGTAACTGGCCAGCATGACCACCATGACAAACGCTGTGGGGCGCTGCTTCTTCATCCGGCGGAGGATGTCCTTATTGTGGGCGGCCCACACGAAGCCCGTGAACACCAGCACCACCACGATGCCTCCAAGAATCATGTTGAAGGGGCTCAGGAACCTGGGATATGGAAAAAGAGGGAGCCCAGGTCAGGAGGAAGCAAAGGAGGAAGGGGAGGAAGAGTAACAACAAAGCACCTACTTAAGCCTTTTATATAAGTTGTCTCATTTAATCATATGTTGATGAGGTAGATGCTATCAATTTACTTCTCAAAGGAAGGAACTTAGGCACAGAGGTTAGAAAATGGTGGAGCAAAGATTCCCACGGAGGCAGTGTGGCTCCCATCGAATAGCCCGTCTCAATAGAGGCCCAGCATTTTAAAAGACTAGAGCCCCTCTTTTGGATGGGATGTCTTTAGCTTTTATACATCCTGGGCTCTAGTACACGTTGATTATATTTTCTGAGCTCCAAGGGCTTATTTAAATCCTCCTAGAAGCTGCCATGCTAGATGAATGTGGAGTACAGGTCACACAGTGGGCTCCATGAGCCCGATCAGGTCTGCAGTCACACTTGTGTTTGGACTGTGCAATAATTTTTTAAACTTTTACTTGAATCCCAATGTGTGTGTGTGTGTGTGTGTGTGTTTTAATCCATAAATCTTGGGATTTCTTGCTTCTCCTGGAAACAAGAAAATCTCACAAAACTGGGCCCAGTTTCCCATGTCAGCCACTGGCTGGAGTGCCTTCTCATTTAGATAGAATAAATGCTCTCCGTTTAGCCTCAGCCCTCACCCCCGAGCCCCAATATCTATGGCATCTCTGACACAGAGGCCCCCAGTGAGCTGCCGTTAATATTGTTTTTCTAACAGCTCCCCTGCACTGCTCTCTTACATAAGCTGCCTGGCCCATGGAGGCATTTGGGTTTATGACTCCTGGCATAGAGGGGCCATTATAATTCTTTAAAAGGCCCAGAGTATCATTAGGAGATGGGTCATCAACTGAGATTTCCAAGCATAGAACCTCCAGTTTCATTGTTACGTGAAGCAAAGGTTACTCTACTGTTGATAATGGGGGAAACACATTATAAAGAGGAAATTTAGATCAAGTATTTCATAAGTGAGAGTGACTGGGCATTGTAGCCCCACTCAGCCCAACCCTCCCACCCCACTGTGTGTACAAAATCCTTAACAAGACATTTGTGGTCAGCAAGTATGATGAATTACTAACTTTTTACCCTTCTAAGAGGCTAATGAGCATTTTGCTTGGGAAGGACAAGGAGGGTCAGTGTGTTATCATCATGCTCTGAATATTAACATCACTGATTTGGAAGACAGGATAATGAAAGGTGATGCCCAGAGCTTACCTTCTCTGAAATAGAACAGATGAAGGAGTCATATTCATATTGGGATGCATATTTAGGACAATTAAGATTCTTTTTTAAAAAATCCCTTTAAATTTTAGCTCTGATTCTGCCTCCTGAAAAAAAGCTATTTTAAATAGTTTCAAATAGGAGTGAAAGTATTGCATATCTTAATGGGTGAAATCAGGGACATAAGTTATGTCAAACTCCTTTGAAAAAGTAAAAAATTTCTACCAAAATGCACGGAGTTAAACAGTGGTAAAAGTAGTAGCATGTAATTTAAAATTAACCCCTACAATAATAAGTTGCTTGTTTCATTCAGAACTCTTGCAAATACTTATATCCTTCAAGGCAAAAATCTCCTCTTTAGAATAGTCTAAGGAAGTGAATAAAAATGCAAAGACTGAATTGTAACAGTATCCACACAAGTGGTATTTATGATTTATAACCTTTAGAAACAACCTATGTGGCCAACAATTTACTAAATGGTGGCATATACAACTGTTTTCAAAAAGTCAAAGTATACTTAATAATGTGGGAAGACAATAATATATTGATTGGGTAAAAGCAACAATTCTCTCTAGTAGGTGGATTTAGCACCTATGTTATATAACTCAGAAGTAGAAATTTTTGCAATTCGTAAATTATTTTGTAATCAGAAATAAAATGAACATATAAAAAATGAAATATAAAGATGTAAAAGGGGACCTCCCTGGTGGTCCAGTGGTTAAGAATCCGTCTTGCAATGCAGGGGACACGGGTTCAAGCCCTGGTCAGGGAACTAAGATCCCACATGCGGTGGGGCAACTAAGCCCGTGTACCGCAACTACTGAGCCCGCGCACCCCAACGAGAGAGCCTGCACGCTGCAAGCTACAGAGCCCACACGCGCTGGAGCCCGCCCGCAGCAACGAAAAGATCCTGTGTGCCACAGCTAAGACCCAGTACAGCTAATAAAAATAAATTTAAAAAAAAGATAAAATAAAAACTAAAACCTGATCTTTAAAAAACAAAAAAAGAAAAGAAAAAAGATTATGGGATGGTTAATTCAAAAAAAAAAAAAAAGGGGGGGCTTCCCTGGTGGCGCAGTGGTTGAGAATCTGCCTGCCAATGCAGGGGACACGGGTTCGAGCCCTGGTCTGGGAAGATCCCACATGCCGCGGAGCAACTGGGCCCGTGAGCCACAACTACTGAGCCTGCGCGTCTGGAGCCTGTGCTCTGCAACAAGAGAGGCCGCGACAGTGAGAGTCCTGCACACCGCGATGAAGAGTTGCCCCCACTTGCCACAACTAGAGAAAGCCCTCGCACAGAAACGAAGACCCAACACAGCCAAAAATAAATAAATAAATAAATTAAAAAAAAAAAAAAAAAGATATAAAAGTAACTGCTCCTCAGCCCCACAACACCGGCTTGGGACAGGCCAACTACAACAGTCCAATCTTACCTTGCCTCATCTCTCCAATAACATTAATGCAATTTCAATTCATACGCACAGCCAAGCTCTTCCTTCTCCCATCCAAACCTTGGTTTCCTGCCCATTCTCTAGATCCTCTTGTAACCAATCCACCACCTGCCCCACAAGCTTTCGCACCTTCCAGCACACGTGCTAGTCTATCTGTCCTCCTCCATCAGTTTTTTATTATTTAGGTCTCTTCGTCTCCTTGTTCATTTTTTTTAATTTTTCACAGTTTTATCTGGCTTATACCTGTCTCCAGCTTTGACCCTGGAATTGGTTTGGGAAAGACAAAAATTTCCTTATAGGTCTGGGGAAGGGAAGACTTGGACAGGGCCAAAACAAAATCCTCTTTAGCAAGTGGTAGGGAGACTGGGTAGAGAGGCTCAGAAACTCTCACAGATTAATAAATTTCATTTCTAGCACCAAAAAGATTCTGAGAGAAATGATACCAAAAGACTCCAGTAGTTATACTGGGTAATAGGATCATTGGTAATATATTCCCATTTGCTTATCTCTATTTTCATATTTTTTCAATAGCCATGTATTACTTGAAAATAAAAACAAAATTGATATTTAAAAATAAAAGAAATGGGGGAAAGGTGCCTGAAAGAGACAAACCCTTTTACATAGCCTTGATGTTGACAAAATCAACATTAACTCAAAGAAGCAGAGCAGAGGGTTCAAGTTTAGGAAACTCCTTTGCATAAGCTGCAAATAGGAGATGGCTGGTTGGTGGCAAAGTGTCAAAGGTCTCCGGCTCAGTTCTTCCTAGAATATCTGTTAAAATAATAATTCACGAGGTGTAGCATATAATAAAATGCATGCCAAGCTGTTTCTATTTTTCTCGGGACAAGTGAGGTAGATACCTAGGCTGAATGCCTAAATAAAGCCCAGGACAAAGAACAATGAAAAATCCAGGCCTGACTCAAGCAATTCCAAATTTGCTTTTCACCTGTTCCTGTTGCTCATGTTCAAGGAAAAGGAACAGAGCAGAGTCCTACAGAAGTGGTTTTAGCTTACCACGTGCCCAGCCATGATCTGTAATTAAACCAAAGTTCCAAGCTGGAAAAAATGAACAAAGTTACTTGGAGCAGAAATGATTTCCTTCCTTACTTCGCTTAAGGGCAATTCCATTCTAAGAAAGGGCAAAATGCACACTACTCCCACTGCCCTGGCACCTCCCTCTACTTGGAGCAAAATAAAATAGACCACCCTCCAGAGATTAATTTCATTTTCCAGTGAGTGCAGGAGTTTGGGAACCAGTTTTCGACTGAGATGAGTAAAGCTGTTTTACTCAACAGTTGGGTTCTTAGTGACGTCAGTCACAATGAAGCCCAGGGACCTTTAGGACAAAACTTCCATAAATGTGCCACCCCAGCTTTCATGTGGACAATTGCCGTTGGGCTCGATGGGTGCCATTTCATTTTTTGGTTGTCTGTGAATGAGAGAGAGGGGGGAAGGGAGGAAGGAAGATAGAGGGAAGCAAAGGAGAGAGGGAGAGAGGAGGGAGAGAAAAGAGAGCGAGATCGTGATTTTCTATCTTTGTTGAAAATAGGACCTAGTTTTACAAAACAAAAACAATATGTTTTTCTTTTGTGAGTTAAAAATATATACTTACATACATAGGTATCCTATCCAATTAAAAAGTTGATAGATAAATGTAATAGTTAAAAATTCTGGTGGAATCACTGACAGTTGTATAAAGGTTTAGAATCCCATCACAGAATCCTGTAGCAGACTGGTCAAAGAGGAATCACCCCAGTCCCATTAAACAGATGCATAAACTGAGGCCCAGGGCAGTGAAGAAACATAGTCAAAGGGATCCAGGGGGAGAAAAACAGTGCCAGTTGATGTAACTGTGACAGCAATTCATAATATAACCCATTCTGTGTTGTTAACCAGTTCAGAGATTTCCCCCCTCAACCGTTTTAGAACCCTATCCTTCCAGTTGGGGTAAGCAACTAAGGATCATTCTGGGAAATCCCTCAGCATTCTCATTTCTCTCTAAAGGAAGGCGGCTATGAGTGGCTGTGGACACAGGTCCTAAACTTGCCAACATGACTCAGCTAGCTATGGCTATAGTTTCAGCACAAGTTGCTAAAAAAAAAAAAAAAATTTTGGCCAACAGTAGAATTTTAGAGCTAGGATGGATCTTGAAAACACACCTCATTCTACATAGAAGCAAGGTAAGGAATAGATAAGTTAATAAATTTGTCCCCAGGCCACCAATTGCAGTGCTGGTGATAAAAGTTTACCCAAACAGAGATCTTCAGATTGACTCAAGTGCACGTTTGGTAACGCCTGCCA